CAAACTAAACTGAGTTCTTCAACACATGTATTACATGCATACACTAAATATTGTGGGAAAAGGTGTTATTGTCATTATTTGCTTTGCTGAGGGTTACTTTTTTTGCTGTACTGTACTGGGCACTTCATGCAAGTTTAAAAAGGTAAGCAAAGTGTGTTCCAGATCTGGTATGATCTTTTCTTTTTTCTTTTTGTATTTTCTTTTTGTTTCTATCCCTTCCCTATCCCCCCACCCCTTCACATCAAGACTATTCCAGAAAAAGCACATGGCCATTATCAAAAATCCCAATTAATAAATTGTAATTTTTAAGTTAGAGGAAGGGCAACCATGAAATAAATCTTGATACCCCCAGTTGTCCTGTAATGTAGAACATGCAGATCATTGAAATCTTTATTTCTATATGGTGTAATTCTTCCATTGGATGCTGCTGTGTTATATTAACGATACTCACTATGATTCACATATGTTAAAACTATATATGTATATATCTACATATATGCATGTAGATATGGACATAAATATGAATGTCTTATTTGCATGAAGCATAAAATCTATGCATAAAGTCTAAAAAAGATCCACAATGAAAAGTCATTTATCCTGAGATATTCAATTATTGTAGAATTTCAGTCACTCGCAGCCTGACCAGCCTGGTCAATAATGAAAGATGCTGCTACTTGTTTAGGGAGCTCTGGATTTTTGATCCTGGCTCTACACATTTCTGGTGTGGATACGTGTTTTGCATATAAATGCAGTATTATACTTAACTGAGTTCATATTGGTTCAGTCTTCTGGCAGGGCCATGATTAACTCTTCATTTCACTGATAACCTGCAGTAAATACGTTGAACTCTAATTTTCACAAAAGTAATTCTTCTATATATATTTTTCTTTAACTCCAGTGAATCAACTCCTTGTATTATTCTCTCTAATGGCAATGGGAACAATGGGAAAACAGGGAATAGTATTATATGTGTATGTTGTAACTTCTGGAAGGCCAGGCCAAACATGCACCATAGACTTCTGCAAAATGGAAGTCAACGTTATTTCTTCAAAACATAAATGTTAGATTAATCCCCACTTTTAAAATAGATATTTTGCATAACTACCTTTGTCTGTTGGACTTAGCATGCATTTACACAAGACTTGCTTAAGCTAAGTTGTAAGGATATAAAGAAATAACAGATGATGCAGAAAAAACATTGGTTTTCCTATTCCATTAATGTCTCATAAATTTTATAGTTTATATGAAAATGAATCTTTTCAAAAATAGACCAATTTCATATTACTTAAACTGTAGGTTGAGAGCAATGGAAGGATGTTATTAATGACATTTCTGGGCAGTTTCATCCATGCAATACATTGCATAGGAAACCCTGAAATAATAACTAAAGCAATACAATTCTTATTTTAAAGAACAAATGCTTTACTTTCTAGATGTGATAGCAAGAAAACAGGTTTCTTGGGCATTTGCATTAAGCAAAAGGATACATACAGTTCCTACGGTTTAGAACGGGGTCTCCAAACTGGGCAATTTTAAGATCTGTGGACTTCAACTTTCCCAGACAGCATGGTTGAATTGTGGGAGTTGAAGTCCAAAAATCTTAGAGTTTCCCAGCTTGAAGACCCCAGGTTCAGAGTTTGTAGAATATTGCACAAAGACCTTGAAGATGAAAAATATGCAGTTTATCATTGACTTACAGCATTTCTGACATATTTGCTATCATAATGTATCTCTGCTTTGTCAGGAAAATATCAAAAATAGCATAAATAATTGGTGGCAATAACAAGGGAAAAGTTTTTAACATCACTGCAATTCATTTGCATTTTCAGATTTCTGGAATTCAGTTAATAATTTATGTATAACAATGTCAACAGAAATATCCTTGAAAAAGCTTTGCAGTTTCTAACTGAATATGTGAGGAAATCAGTTACCAGTAAAACACAGTATTGTAACATTTTTTCCATGCATTTTAAGGAGAACCTTAAATGATATGATGTATACGCCATCCTTTTATATTTTATAGGAGTATTATGAATGCAATTTTCATGTATTCACGTATTTCATGTATTTCTCATCACTGTAAGCCAGTGAGTCAGGCGGATATTCTTTAAAATTTATACATGAAATGATACAATATGGCATTACAAGCAATGCCATTTAATTTTTTGTGCAAAGTAATTGTTAGTGTGCTGGACACATATTTATTTCATTCAGATAGAACTTGTTTTCACATCTGTTAAAAAGGCATTCACTCTTATTTTGAGAATGAAGATGTTGTTAAATTAATGCTTCAGAGGATTAGTATTTGCCAGATGAACTTCTAAATGATCAATATATGTTTGATTTGATTAACTTTATTTAATACTTGGCTTTTTTTCTAAATACTTTAAAATGTATCTACATATTACTAAAACTCTTGGGTCTGATAATTTGTTATCTTCAGTTGAATGAAATACTGCACCACAGGGCAAAACTTTGTCAATAAAGGTACTTCAAATGGCTAATGTACAAAATGATGGGACCTGTTATCCCGTTTCCCTGAAAATATGATCTATCCTGAAAGTAAGTCCTAACTTGATTTTTACAAATGTGCCCAATGTAAGCCCTACCCCCAGAATAAGCCCTAATTAAGATCTCATCCACTCCAGAATGCACAGATAAAAATTAAGCTAGGGTGTGGGTGGAGGTGGAGCTGCCCTACTACTTACCTTTGGACAGCTGTCGCCAGGCCTCGTACTCCCCGACACCTCCCTTGCCAGCCTATTTTTTTTGCAGTCAGGAAGGCTCTCCTAAAGGCCTCTGTAGCTGATAACAGAGTCCTAGATTGATCTGGAGCTCTGTTATCAGCTGCAGAGGCCTTCAAGAAAGACTTGTCGGCTGCAGAATAAGTTCCTGAAGGCCTCTGACAGTGAAAAGGAGGCCGGGGCCAATATAACACACACACACACACAATGTTTATATTGATCCAAATCTTTGTAGAGCTAAGTATGGGAAGTGTAGAACAGAGTTCAAGTGCTGACACAGAAGTTGTTCCTTTTAGACCTTCCTCCAAATTGCCCACCTAATTGCAACAAAATAATGCCCTTTTCAGGGACTATGAAACCCTGTTGAATATGAATAGATTTCAGTTTTTTTCAAATTCCCTTGCCAGCTATTTTCATAAAAATAATAGCACTTTTCTAACAATGAAGGGTGCTGTAATGGCAGACCTCCTGAATGACTCCTTGAGATGAATTGTGTTGATAAAAAAAAAAAGCCTGGGTAAATAATGGACTGAAAATAAAATATAATCCTGAGAGCCGTTATGTGGGGGAATTGAGGGCAAGACCAGAAAATAATTAATTTGCTGCATTGTGTCCGGAGTGTTTTTAAAGTAATGCAATAATAACTTGACATTAATATTACATTACTGATATAATCCTTTGGTTGCAAGGTGACTCGAACGATGGGATAAATCACCATAACTAGGAATTGCCATTCAGTAGGAAAGAGAAGAATCAGAGAAAGAAATGCAAAGGGTATGGCTAAAAGAAAGAAAAGAAATAAAAACAACAAGGAAAAATATAAAGTCCCTCCATAAAGAAAAAGAAAACATCAAGGACAGGCTTTTGTTGCTTGTACCTTTGAGCTTCACCACCTAGTTGCATTTCCAATTCAGCTGAGATTTGGATTAGAAAAAGATTGAGAACTATTTTTATGTAATTTGTTTCTTTACATCAAATACTGATTTTAGGGGACCTCTTCAACCAGCTGCTGTTGTTCCTTGACATTGCTGGTGTTTTGCTCAAAGTATCCCCAGACCTCCCCACCATCCCAGAGATTTGAGAGTCTTTGAAATTACAAATAGAACGGTGGAGGAGGTAAAATTACTATGACAACACTCAAGTTCTTGTTAACATAGATTTGATTTATTATTTTATAGATGCTCTGGCATTTGGAAAACAGCAACATTCTCTTTGATATTCTTAATTGAAAGGATTTATTTAAACCAATAAGCAGATTTACACTTATATCTAGGCATACATGTTCATTTCTCATTTATTCAGTCCTCTGAATTTGTTTCTCACTGTGGCCTACCAGATACATTCTGCATTTCTGGAAAGCCTCTTATTTGTAGGTTTCACGTGCATGCACACTCTTTGAAATTAGTTTTCCAATGATCATACTGGCCTGAAGAGGTTTTGCTGGAAGCAAATGTTGTTATACACAATACAGTTTTCACATATACAGCAAGATAAACAGCAACATATACAGAACTGCAGTCAGAAAGAGGCACATCTGTAACTGCATATGGCATTTGGCTTGGGCACCATGCCCTGGCATGACCAGTTACATTCCCCTAGCATATACTAAAGGTCACCTGGGCTGGGAAGATCCAGGGCATGCTTTGGGCAGCATCAAATTAGTCCTGCCTAATGTGATCCAGTTGTTTGAGACTATCAACATTACTTTGGTAAAGGAATTGTAATGGCCTTCTTCGTTTCAGAAAAACAAATTGCATTGTCTCCATCATCTGATTCAATTTATTAAAACAAACTGTGACTACCATGTTGGATGTTGGGGTGGGAAGACATTAATGTCATGCATTCTTGCAGTAATCTCTCTCCCTCTCTGTCTCTGTCTTTGTCTCTCTTTCATTCTCTCCCTCCCTCCCTCCCTCCCTCCCTCCCCCACTCTCTCTCTCTCTGTGTATGCGTTGTGTTTGTATGCAATTGGGTGAAACTTTCAAAGGGTCATGTTGATCCTTCTATGGGACATGGTTTCCATAAAGTTTTAAGGAGAGATTACTTTGTCACACCACTACGCTTTGTAAACTTGCCCTTTCAAATGCTTTCCATACTGGTGATCTACTCAAGTTTTATAACATTGCCCTAATGCAGGGGTCTTCAAACTTGACAGCTTTAAGTCTTGTGGACTTCAACTCCCAGAATTCTTCCTCCAGTCATGTTAGCTCAGGAATTCTGGGAGTTGAAGTCCACAAGTCTTAAACTTGCCAAGTTTGAAGACCCTTGCCCTAATGCATATTTTAAGGCAGTACTTCATTAGAAAAGCTTTTCTTTAAATACACATCTCTGTCAAACATAAGGAGTCCCCACCTTTTCTTTGCTATGCAGATACTGTAGGTTGTTTTGAGTAAAACGTTTGAGAATAATGAATACTGGTAGGCTATGTATTACTATTGACCATGCCATGTCAGAAAACTCCACTAGCAGATCATTGACTTAAAAGAACTGTGTGGGGCAGATTTCCTTTATATTTTTATCCCTGTATGGATAGACACAAAGAATCTCCCTCCACTCCCAAGTGGACAAGGAATGATTAGTATGCACCACCATTTTATAGGACAGGTGTTTTTTCCAACCTTAGCAACTTTAAGACAGGTGGACTTCAATTCCCAGAATTTCTTAGTCAACATGGCTGGCTGAGGAATTCTGCGAGTTGAAGTCCACCCATCTTACAATTGTCACAACTGAAAGATCCTCAACTAATAAAAGTCTGCAAACTTTCCATAAACATTCAGCTAACAAAATTGCCTTCTCCTTATGACCAAAACTAAAGAACTGCACACACTGCTATTTTCTTAACTTGGCTCCTTTCAAAGCAGGATAGGATATTTTGACCCAGGTAAAGCCTTTTTTAAACACTGTAATGGGTTGTATTCTCTTTAAATAGCAATAAGTGAAATTATTTCATTTCCCAGCATTAGATATGAAACGAAGAGTCAATTTGCCAACAACAACAAAAAGCTTTATACCTTGGATTCATTTTTCCCTCTTTCAAGCTTTAGCTGTTTGCCCTAAAGAGTCCTGGGCGTCTTTAGAAGCCTTATTTGTTACACAATAAACCAGTCTGTCTTGTACAGATATGCAGTTTTGTATACAATATAGTGTGCCTGAGTGCACATTTAAGTACAATACCTATACCAGAGAGAAAATAATTGATTTAAGAGAGATGACAGCTCAGTAGCTCATTTCATACTTTCACAATTTAGCAATTTTTCCGAAAGCCTCTCGTTTTCTGTTTCCTTCCACAGTGCTGCTCATCTTGGCTTTCCATCAATTTACCTCAAGCATCTAAAACAGCAAGGTACATTTCTGAACAGCCTGGAGTATTCATCCTGGATCTGAAATGAAAAGATAGCATGAGCACCTTGGCTTACTAACAGGTAAATATATGTGTTTTAACCCTCGTCTACCAAATGTGGCCTATTTTGGCAATTCTTGACTCACTTTTAAGTATGGGGCACCAAACTAAATCAGACTCCCAACATTGCTATAATGCATTTAATGTGTCCATTTCCAACTCTCTCTAGTTTGGATTATATTTTTCTTTAGATCTTACTCAAATCTGAACCAGGTATTTAAGGCCAGCATGATATTGCTCTGGAGAACAGCTATTTGTTTGTTTGTTTATTTATTTATGCATAAACTTTCCAACTGATTTCTGGGGACTGTTATGTTTGTAAGAAATTATTAGTCACTTGATCCCAAACATGTTGTGGGTTTCTCCATATCTGGTGAATATGAGCCATGGTGGCACAATGGTTAGAGTGCATTACTACAGGCTACCTCTGCTGGCTGCCTAATTTGGCAGTTCAAATCTCACCAGGCTCAAGGTTGATTCAGCCTTCCATCCTTCCCAGGTGGGTAAAATGAGGACCCATACTATTGGGGGCAATATGGTGACTCTGTAAACCACTTAGGACTGTAAAGCACTGTAAAGCGGTATATAAATCTAAGTGCTATTGCTATTGCTGTTCTACATTCCTGGTAATTCCTGGTGAATATTTTTTTGAAATTATCAATTTGGAAACTTAATTTTACAGCCCTGCTTAATGTTTTTTTTCCAAGTATTAAACATGATTCCTTCTTTCTTTAAATTGTGACCCTTTTGCACTTGTGCAAATAAACAAAAAACAATCTTCTTCATCATTCTATCAATGAGTCAGTTAATCTACTTCATCCTTGTTACTTTGTGATGTGCCCCTATCTTTCTATAAAATGGAAGTGGATACCTAACTCCTGTATCCTAAATCCTAGAATAAGTTCAGAGAATGGGTGTTGTTTTGACAAGGGGCTACAAACGAAGGGCCCTTTCTCAAGGCTTCCAAACAGAGGCAACAGTTGCCTTGTTAACTATTTCAGAAAGATATAACTATATAAGCATGTCTTCCAAAAACTTTTGCCCTTCACTGCAAAGGCACCCTGCAGACTTTTCTGTTCCAGTTTTAATGCATGCTTTCTACTTTCTGTTAATAGATTCCTTGATGTCTGGATCAACTGCGGTGTCTCATCTGAGATAAGATGTGTTCAGTAATTCTCCCAACTGTCAAGGGAAAGAAAGTGGGGATGAAGGGACTCTTTAGACTGCACCACCTTATGAGAAAACTATTCAACATGTTTCTGGAAGACTGGACAGTCTGCAAGAATGTCTTACCTGGATTAGTCATGCAGGTGGGGGTAGAAGATGATTGCTAAAGAGATGTTGCAATCCTGTTTCCTTTTGTTTGTGAGAGTATAGGGAAAGAAGCATCAGGGGGATGGGTTCTTAGAGCCTCTCAGATAGAAACCATGGAACTGGAGAACTGACAGCATCAGACCTGCTCTCTTATTTTCTTCCCACTTCTTCTCTTGCCATGAGTGGTAGGAAAAATGGTGGGAGAAAATGGCACTTCTGGTGCAACTTTTCCAATCCAAAGAAGTAACGATTGCATAGTATTAGAAAACTGACAGCAAAAGACTTGCTCAGACTTCTCCCTGCTGGTGTTGCTAGGGTGGTAAGGGGAGAAGTAGAGAGGCAAGAGGGAAAGAATCACTCTGATGCCATGTAACTAATTCCTAGAGTGGTCATTTAATGACAGTTCAACACCATGGGCCTTCTCTTCCAGTAATTGTTACCCAAAGAGGCTTTCCCCACTCTTTTTCCTTTTCCTTATTTTTTCTTGTGTCAAGACAGAAAAGGAATAGCACAAATTAAACCAGGGTACTGTCTTACCATGGGCTGCAGCTCAACATTTGCAGTCTGGATATACATTAATTTTTCTAAAGAGAGATTGAGGCAACTGAGTCTGTTTCACCTTCAGAAAAAGCGACCGAATGGATATGCCAGCACTTTTCAAGTATCTAAAGAGGCTGCAAATATGTTCTCTATCATATATTATAAATTATGAAATAAGGGCCTTAAGTAATAGATGGGCAGACTTTGGTTGAATGTTAGGCAAAACTTCCTATAAGGAAGAACAGTTTGATAATAACACAGTTACTTATGAATATGACAGGATATATATTTCGTTGGGATCTTTTAATTTAGATTACTGCACTGAGCAGATCATCCAGCACAAGATATTGAAAACCATATAAATGATGAAATATATGAAACATAATTTCCAGTATTGCCCTTATTCTGTGGGTGGTGGACCAGTGCAGTGCAGATATCAGAGAAGTTTTATTTACTAGTTTGGTTTGCAGTTTGAGTACCAAGATTACTACTTGGAAAATGCAAGTAATAGTTTCCGAGAAGGTTCTTTTACTGAGACTGGGTCTTGGGTGACTAATCATTCAATCAAACTTTCCAAGAGCCAATTTTATTCAAGCTCTTCTGAAACAGCTCTGGTTTTCAAGTAGCTGCTATTTAAAGGAAGGAAGGAAGGAAGGAATGAAGGAGGGAGCGAGGGAGGAAGGGAGGGAGATGAAGGAAGACACAGAGAGAGTGACTAAGTAAGCAAGCAAGTAAGTAATATATTGACAGAATGACAGAGAGGGAGGAGGGAGGAATATATTGGCAGAAAGACAGGGAAAGAGGGAGGAAGGGAGGGACTGAAGGAAGGATGGAAGGAAGGAGAAGAACATTTTAAGGATAATTTTGTATAAATGTACCTCATGGTCTATTTACATGTATATTGAAAAAAAACCTTACTTTTCGTGACAGCACACAAAGAAATATAAAGATGAACAGTCCCTGAAATGCATTGAAAATTGTGAAAAGATATGCCGTAGCCACTGATCCCTGGATGACATGGAGCACACCAAAAATCCACGTAGCCCCCAGGAGAAAAAGGAGAGAAAGTGCCCCTCGTGCACAGGATCTAGGGAGAAGGGAAAGAAGAGCTGTTAGCCCTGCTTCTCTTCCTAGTTCCTTCCCTTAAATGTGAGTCACTGACAAACCCTTGCATTCTGCATTGCAGTGACATGGTTTCTGCTTTAGGGTGTGCTGCAGTACCGTGGCTGGAATAAAGTTCCTATTTTGTTTTCTGAGCAGTCACCAACAAAAGTGGAAATGCTGATGGCTTTTAAACACTGGCTGTCTTAATCTTCAAATCTGTTTTCTCTAGTGTGCTGCAGAACCATATGATTTGATTTTAAATCTACTGTTGGTGCAATTCCCCAAGGTAAAACATATGTCTGTTATGAAGTATACCCACTAAGAAACCTTGGGGGGAAAAAAATGTATGGTATGCTCTGAGGTCAGCAAATGTGCCAGGCATCAGAGGGAACTTTTGGGCTGTTTTCTCTGTTTCAGCCTCAGAGATAGTGCTTAGTTTGTTCAAAAGACAGACTTTCCCCTTATTCTGAAACCATTTTGCTTTCCCAATGCAAAGGAAGTTTAAATTGTTGCAGGGTCAAGATATTGACTCCCAAGCAGCTCATAGATTGGTTCCCTGAGATTATTTCTCTCTTCATATGCTAACACATTCGAATATAAATTACTCCAGCTTTGGTCATGAGCTAGGACAAATTACACAGTGTGCTTTTGCAAATGGACTCCGTCATTAATTTTCTCTTTCATTTGCAGCTCACTGGTTTTGAACTTCCTTTGCAGAAAGTTGTTTCCCCCTCCCTCCCCCTCCCTCCCTCCCTCTCTCTCTCTCTCACACACACACACATCTCCCACCCCCGCATCGTCTCTCTTTTCATGCTGCTTCCTTAGATTTGTACAGTATAACCATTTGACTCCATTAGGCTTGGCGCTCTGTGAGAGCTGATCAGATGGAGAATGTGAGCAAAGTGATCAATCAAAGAGCTGCTAAATCCTAACTATAAATCTAGTGCAATGACTTGAAACAACACGAATGTTTCCAAGCAACAAAAACAGTAAGTTGCTTTCAATGGTCCCTATAGCACATTCCAGCTTTTCCAGCACAAATGCTTTTCAAGGGCTCTATAAATCAGTTTTAAAGAAAGCAGATTGATGGAAAAATCATAGCATCCCAAAAACAATAAAAAATAAACCCTGGTGAAGGAATTAAAAAAAAAAGGAACACCTATTTCTATAATCTCTCTGGAAATGGAATGAAACATCAAAAGCCCTTCCGGGAGTTTAGAACAAGAGAGTTAAGCATATCTTTGGCTCCCTTTACTAAAGGATTTGGATTCTTATCCAATATTAAAACTTTAATCTGGGTTTTAAGAGTAAGATGGTCATATTAGCTAGACTTAATCTCAGGTTTGGTTTCTTTCCCATATATAATATTTGTTGTTAAAAAAAATACGCCCAAAACTTTAACTCTAAATGATGATGTGGAGCAGGGGTGTCAAACTCACATTGTTACAGCAGCATCACATGACATATTGGGATTTTTTTCCCCCTTCACTTAAACCGGGCGTGGGAGTGGCCAGTGACTCTTACCTGACATTTTCATAGCAGCTAACTTCTGGCTTTAGCATAGCTGTTTGACGAAATACTTTATAGATAATTACTCCAAATGCCATCCAATTCACCTTGAGAAATATAGATTGACATTTTAGTTTAGAAAGAAAAGCTTTCCCAGTACACATTTACAGTATTTTCATATTTTAAAAAACCAATTAAATAAGTCCATTTGATGTATTAATGAGGAAGAAAAGCCACTTTATAAAGCAGTAGTAAAGCAATTTGCACTTATGCAAATTCAGAATTATAACTCTTTTTTTTTTCATTTCAGCTTTATTAGTTTCCTTACAATTAAAATAGGAACAGGAAACATATAAAACTGATTAGTGTGGTATATAGAAATTTTATTTATAATTAACTAAACATCACAAAGTAGTAAATGACATGCATAGTGGAAAAATAAAGTAAAATTGAAAAAACAAACAAAAAGAACCTGAAAGGGGAAGAAATATTGTATTTTGCCAACTTTTGCATAGTACTGAAACAGTATTTACATCCTGAAAAATATTTACATTTTTATTTAAAATATGTCCTTCAATTAAGAACATTTACCCAATAATGTCCAAATATCACCTTAGGTGCTAGAAATATCACAATACTTCTGTTGTAATTGGGATGAAGTTCTTGCCAAAATTTCAAGGGAGCCAAGTGATAAATCTTAATAGCACATATTTAATATATTTTTTATTCTAATATATTGCATTACTGACATTAGCAAATAAGTCAAGTGATATAGTTTAAAATCAGGAAAATAGAAACCACTATAATGAAACAGAATGGTAATTCAATGTATTTTCCAAAGCAGTCTTTACATGTTTTATAAATTAACTGGTAAGGTTATTTGGAGAACAGAAATTCATCCTAAATTTAACTATAAAATGCAAATATTTATCTCGTGTTTTAATCCAAACCAAATTAGACAAAGATCAATCTAAAATATTCTGCTTTCCCCTTATTGCCAGAAATACAACACTAATAGCAGGATGTTTTTATAGAAACTTTGAGTACAGAACATAGAAGCATATGAGAATTTCACAATAAATTTACATTAAAAGATTTTGTGTCAATCTGGCAATAGCTTCATCAAACAATGTAGTAAAAGAAACAGAAAAACAAATGAATATTGTTTCCCTAAGTTTGAAAATATTAAACTAATTGGTTAGAAATGTTATATTTGTTTCACTAACAACAAGTAAGAGAGAAATATAAAACTTCAGCATACAGTGAATAACAGTATCTCATATCAGACATATGGGGTAACAGTATCCCATATGAGACAGGAAGAGCTTCTTCTCTAACAATAATTCTTGGGCTATTCTGCAACTATTCCTATCAAATAAACTACCTGGAAATGAGGTTACATTTGTTTCTCCTTATGAAGTCACAATGGCTATTTCCAGTTATAGGAAAGGGAAAGAATCAACTTTTTCTGTTTTCCAAAGCTGGACGCTTCATAGGAACATATCAAGACCAAAGGTCTTGGAAGCTCTTCAGCAAAGACCATTTTCTGAAAATTATCCTACAGTACAGAGGTGATATTCAGCAGGTTCTGACCAATTCTGGAGAACTGGTAGCGGAAATTTTGAGTAGTTTGAGGAACTGACAGATACCACCTCTGCCTGGAGATTTTACAGTATCCTTCCCCTGCCACACCCACCAAACCACGCCCACAGAACCAGTAGTCAAAAAATTTGAATCCCACCACTGCTGCAATAGCTAGAAAAATAACATTGATCCCTTTTCTTCTTCATGCTACAAATGATGTTGCAGCCTGTGCAGCAGTTATTATGGAGAGCAATATGAGAATCTACATGCAGTCCATTCTGTTTCATGAAATACACATATGCACAATATCACATACCAAAGCAAAATTAAGACCAGTTTAAGGACCTAAACTAAGGACTATCTGTCTAGAGAGGTGGGAGGACTTTCACAGGGGTGGGATTCTACCGGTTCCGGTGAATCCCTTGCTCCGAAGATCAGATGGCAGTGAACCGGTTCACTGTGACAAGCATGTGGGCCCGCCTGCCCGCCTCTGCTCTTTCCTGTGCTTTATTGCCTTTTGTTAGAGCACAGCTGATTTGCTAGCAGAGCGGTTTGCCGTGCCTCAGCTGTTTTATTCACAGGGATTGCAGTAGAAGGTAAGTATTAGTGCTTTTTTAAACACTGAGCACACACGTGCAAAAAAAGCACGCAATCACCAAACTGGTTGTTATACTGGTGGAATCCCACCCCTGGACTTTCCCCATCTGGAATGCTTTAATTTAGTGCCTTGCTCTTGAACATGGAGTTGGCCTCGATCATTGCTCCCAGCTCTATTATTTAAATTAGCTATGTTCTCCTTTGTTTTGGATTTTAATTTAATCCGAAAGGAACTTGCTTTGGTCATATCTTTGAGGTAAATATTATGGGCCACTCTGTGACATTTTAAAATTGAATGCGTATCATGAATTATACATATCCCTTCACATTGGCGGGATTCTACCAGCAGGATTCTACCGTGCTGAGGCAGCTGGGAAATATATTTCATCATCTTTTAGGTTTTGGCTTCTGGGTGGAGATCAGAGGTGGTATTCAGCAGGTTCTGACCAGTTCTGGAGAACCGGTAGCGGAAATGTTGAGCAGTTCGGAGTACAGGCAAATGCCACCTCTGACTGGAGATTTTACAGTATCCTTCCCATGCCACGCCCACCAGCCATGCACACAGAACCAGTAGTAAAAAAAATTGAATCTGGTGGAGATCATAATGGACTAATATACTTCTGCACTGCAGAGACAATGCTGAGCTAAAGATTGGCAGCCAGGACTTGAACTCTGGCTGATGGATCTTCTTTGAGACAAGGAGGAAGTTGTGGGATCAATCATTTGAGTTCTGGATGGTAGTTCCACATGAAGAAATCTACCCAATCCTAGGGGATTTGTGGGTAATTTACAAGTACAGCTCTAGCAACTGAGGATGAAAGCATCACACTCACAGCCTTTGACAGATTGGAAGGAGTATTTAACATTTAAGCAACAGAGATACCTACGTAATTCAGTCCAGAAGGCGAGAGATTTTTATGAAACAAACAGAAAAGTTTAAATGATGCTGTCAGTTAATGCAAAAGGGAAAGCCATTGCTCCTTGATGCTGTTTCCACCATTAGACTAGTCCTATTCAGGTTACACTTTCAATCCTGATATGGGATTCATCCATTTGAAAATTCATGGTGCAGGGTCTCCAGTCAGGCATTCAAAAGAGCATCAATAGGTTCACAGTGGTGTATTTGTGCGGATGCAATTTATCCTATTAATGATTTTTGGCATACTGAATTTCTAATATAAAGATCTAATATAAAGCAGCTAAAAGAAGATTATTTAGATCATGGAAATGACACCCATCAATCAATCCCCACATTAACAATTATATTCTCTTGTTTACCTGCAACTTAAATATAAAATCTAAACTGATCACAGTGTACATGAGACTTAAAATTAGAATCTATATTTAGGTTCCACTTTTCATACTTACAGTAGGTAACTATGGATAGATCTCAAAATCAAAACCTTTTAATCCCTTTTTAATGAGATAAAAATTATTCCCTTTTGTTAATGAAAATATCTGGGGTGAGGGACTGGACAGAATATTATGTCAATAGCCCAGACAGTACAGAACTGAAGGGAGATAAGATTATTTCTTGCTGAATAAAAAGATAAGATATCAGACTATCGATTAGTAACTGAATACATAATATAAAGATATAGTAATGTACTAAACTAGTACACACTCTTTATGGGATATTTAAAAAAATGTTAAAAGGATAGGTTGATTTTATTCGTCCTCAATATTCATGATTCTTTTCTGGCTTTTATTGTTCTAAACTCTTCTATTATTTTATTTTGTTTTATTATTTTTTGCAATAATAAAGCACAACAGTCAATCCAATAAGACCGAATATGTATTCTTGAGAGAGGACTCAAAATGGAAGGCCAAGTAATCCTTAGTTTCCAATTTGAACAAAGACTCCTAAGGAAGATGGGCTAGTATAGAAATAGGATAGATATTTAGCATCTCACAGTGCAAGAATTCTTCTTTGCTAGAGTACGGCGGGAAAGGATGGAAAACATTTCATGAACAGAGAATGGATTGCATATAGATTCTCATATATAAAAATCAGAATCCAGATAGTTTCTACTTAAAATATCGAACTTCTTTCCAGTTGTAATTATTATGGCCCCAGAGCGAAGAAGGTCTGCTGTGGGTTTAAATTTGTATTGGTTTATTAAATCTTTCAAACTTCTTGGTCCCTGTGATTTTTTTACCAAGATAAAGCTGTTCATATTTTAGTTTATATTCTTTGGGTTATTTGATTCAGCAGCTTTCAGTGTAAACAACAACAATGAAATAAAGTATCTTTTAAATGAAAAGTTATTGAACGCTACAGTATATAAATAAATCCTCCGGTGTTTTAACTCTGGAGTGCCTGTTTTCAAGTGGCAAGAACAGCAAGTACAAATCATTGTAATTCTGAGTTCCTCTGGAGAGAATCAGAAAGCCACAAGGTATCCTAGTGTGTTAGATTTTGCATTAGGATCCATGACTGAGTTGTAAGACATCCATACAGTTCCATATTGAGCTCACATCTGAGGAATACAAGGTATTTCATCTTCTATTGGCAGTTTGCTTAAGCAGATGGCTTTGAATGCATTTCTTGCCTTATGTTGGCATACAGGAAGAAGAACTGAATTTTGATTTGCCCAGCCAAAGTCTTTGTTGTGAATAATAATAATAATAATAATAATAATAATAATAATAATAATAGTAATAATAGTAATAATAATAATAATAAGCCCAGAAGCATCTCATCATTCTCTGAAGCCATTTCCCCTAGGCATTAAAAAGAAACAACCACATATATAATATATACAGTATTTCATCAGCTCAGATTCAATAGGATGACAGTTTTTCCTGCCTATTAATAAGGATCAAGGGATTCTGGGTGGGAGTGTATTCAGGCAAGAAATGGTAGAATGTCTTAGGTTGACGAGAAGGCATTGGATCCTATGTCAGTAAGTCAGATAAAGGGTGA